AGGAGAAAAATATACAGAGATCAATCCAAATTTTTGATTTTCCAAAACAATTGAAATACTAGTAACTACATCTGTTTCAAAGTCTACGATAAAATCTATTTTCTCATTAATTACAATAATAACAGTCCTTCCATCATCACAGGCGGCAATTCTCTAATTCTTATCAGCGTATGCAACTTTGCCTCCGATCAAATATGGCTCCTGCAGCAGATGCCTACTATAAGGCATCTTGAGAATGAGGTGTAACGCTGTAGAATGAATGAAGTGTAACGCTATTAAGGTGAAACTAGCGCCAGAGTATCGCTATTGTAAATAAATCTAGTGAATTTTAAAAAGCGCATTTATTACATTGCGGTTTATGCGCTATCGACGAAGATTTAATTCGATTCAATAAGTTTAAATGAAATGCAGGAAAAATGTGTATAAATTAATATTCCGTATAAGAAAGTCATGTGGTCATAAGGATAACGTCAGACTTTTTTCTAATCTCAATGGACAAACCGGAGGCTTAATAACTTGAAGCTCATTATAATGGAGTGAGACAGTATTTTCAGCTCGAGCTTGTTTAAAGAAAAAGAAATATTATATGTTCTTAGTTTTGATCGGTTAGTATTGTATCCGTCGAAGAGTCAAACTTACAATAAGCTACTAATACTGTAACTTTGGTTGAAGTCGTACATGTCCAACTCCAGAAATCAGCAAAAAATTTTTAAAAAATTCTGAAAGATTTTATAATTTTAAATTACGTCCAAAGGGGGCGTTTTTTTAACGTTTTGTGTGGTACCTTTATTTATTAAATATCATGTTCTACGTACCCAAAGTATAAAATTCAGTTCAACAGCAATATCGCAAATTAATTTTAAAATGAGCCCAGCTTCAGAATTTCCGAGTATCGCGTGCTTTAGATAAAAATCTTTTTTTTTCGTACAGTTTTGCCATAGCTCGCTTTGTAATTGTTGAGTTTGTTAATCAAAAATTGACTGAAGTGTTATAAAATCTGAAATCCATAATAAAGCAAATTTCAGATTCAAATGAGAGCTTTCATATGCCTATATCCTATGGAAGATTACGTTATTCAAATTTGGATGGCTCTAGGTACAAATAGGGCGCAGCCCCATCCACCTAATCGACAAGATTTTATGACAAACAAGGGCTGCGCCAAGCAAAAAGCAAAAAATACATATAAAATACATATAAAAAAACATAATTATACATGGGTGTAGGTATCTTTTTTTATCACAATGCGAGAAACATACATACATTTATGCAGATTCTTCATTATTTTAATTCTTCAACTATAATACAGGGCGATAATATTGGGTGGCAACAGTTTGAAAAGTGATACAGCCTTTTAAAAATTTCAACCCAAAATGCCAAAACAAAAATAATATTCCGTCAGAGACAAAGCCCCTTCGGCCAAAATTTTTTAAACTAAAAATTTAAAAAACCATTTATTTATTATTATTTAAAAATTTAATATGTCAAAAACCTGTATTAACATCAAGTGTCATCCACTACAAATTAAAAAAATGTATTTTAACTTGAGTGGATGAATAAAAAGTATTTTATTAACGATTGAAAATCCGAACACGATATAGGGAGAGTGTGAGCTAATACTAGGAATTTTTAAAAAAATGAAGAAAATATTCATGTTTTGGCAATCTCAAATTTGAAAAAAAAGGGAAATTTAGACAAATAAAAAAATCTAACTTTTAATACGCCTCCCGGCTCTTATATTAGGGAATGTTTTACACCCGTTATGAAAAAATGAAAGTACAAGAAATTTGACTGTCGTATGACAAAAATTGACCGTTATCGACAAAAAATTAACCGTAATTTCAAAATGTGTGATTTTTGATGTCATTTTCAACTTAGAGTTAGAGTAAAATACTTTTAACTCTAACTCAAGACAAGTTGAAGTTGCCTTGAGATTAATTAAGTTAGAACAATTCGAGAAAATAAGTTTAAATAAAGTACAGCAAAATATGTGTATAATTTAATAGGCGTACAAATTATTCATGTTGTATCTACATTAGATTTTTATGTCAAGTATTAGTAGTAATAAAAATTAGCTTCTAAGAAACCACTGTAGTGGAAATCCTTTTCTTTGTTCTTTCCATTTTTTATACGCTCGAATTATTCCTATTCGTTTAATAAAAGTACATTTGTGACGCAGAGCAAGACCAGAGCAATACATTTCTAATCTCTTCGAACTGTGAATTAATGAAGCCATAATTGAGAAAGTTAAAAAAAAAAATTACTTCAACGACATTTTGAAAAAGTGATTGTCTTCAATGTAATTTTCTAACGAATACCCTTTTATGTTGCTTTTAATTCTCTGTTTCTTAATATTAGTTTTAGAAAGAATAAATTATCGTTTCTTCAGAATTTAAGAGCCTGCTAAATAATTGCCTGTGTCAGTGAAGGGGAAAAAAGAACCGAGAGGGAAGAGAAAAAAGGGAAATTGGAAAGCGAAATGCCATCCCCCCCAAGAAAAAAGATGGAAAAGAATAGTAATATTTTAGATGTGTTAATGAGATTTATTAAAGCACTAAAGCCATTGCCACTTTTTATTAACATTGATATATATAGTAGTCTTTTAAAAACTATTTTTAATATATTTTATAATTATCAAGTGTGTGATTGCTAAGATAATCTCTACATATAATAAACGAACGAGTCTGTCTGTGTGTCTTTCGTTCGTGCTGCGCGTAAGCTAATAGACCCAGGACTAAAAAATGTGGTACGTAGGTGCACCTAGACAACAGCCAGTGCACCTTGAAGCGATTTTTTTTTTTTTTTTTTTTTCAAAATTCGTATAATATTTTTTTAATTTTATCTTTTTTGATGAAATCGCATCAGTTTGAATAGTTTCATTCTTTTACAAATGGGGTTTTGGCAACAAAGAATCTTTCATTCAATGCCTTGCTGACTGTTGACAATATAAGATAAAATATTATTAATTATACCTGCAACACGCACATCGCAATCTTCTCATTCTGACGCGTATGTGTCTCGCAAGGCACAAGAGAAAGAATTTCCTTTTTTTCCCCCTCTCTCTCTCTCTTTATTAGCTAGTGGCAAAAAGGTTTGTATATTTTGAATTATGTCATCCACAAAGCACAATTTTGATCGGTTATTGCTTTCTGATGATAATTTCATTCCTTTAAAAATGTGGTTTTGGGGACAGTTTTTCATTCACTGCTTTGGATACTGAACTGCTGACTGTTTTCTCTCGAAAATATGAGATTTATTGCTTATTTCATTGTAATCATTTTATATTATATTTTAATTATATAAAAAAATTGCATGATTTATTTTAGGAAACAAAGTTCTTAACTTATTTTATACAATTTGAATTGATACGATTTTGCAACGGGAAGTTGGTAAATTTATTTATTAGAAAAATTAATATTTGTATTAAGAGATATTGCTTTGTAATTTTTAATATGTGATGCATTTTTATTGAATTATTTTTTGATAAAATTCTTCTGCAGAGTAAAATTCTGTGAAGTTTTTTAATTTAATGTTTGGTGATCCCTTTAAGCATTTTTACGGTACATTTAAAACCCAGACGAAGGCGAGGCGCGTAACGGCTAGTGAAGAATATTTTAGTGGCATAAATAAGTAAAATCAGTTAATAGAGACCAATGTATTTCTCTATGTTTCTTCAACATTTTTTAAATATATTTATCACTCGAATTCTCTTTTGCTGTTTTAACAGGAAAAATACCCTAACATAAACTTCGCTTTTGGATGAAAGTGAACAAACAGTATCAAATTACTTCGTTAAACAACATTTTAAATGAAATAGCATTGCATAAAAGCATGGATAGAAACATTAGTTATCATGCACTAGTGTATTATACTTTATAACGGTGTAATGAATTTGTAGAAACATTAGGATATTTTGGAAGCAGAAGACGTAAAAAAATGAACAGTGGTCCTGCCGGGACTGGACCCTCGGACCTCTCGATACACACCGAGCGTGCTGACCATTACACCACAAAGGCTTGCTAAGAAGGCGGGAGAAGTACCTTATATACTCCCCGTTTTAAAGAGCGACTGGGGATTAGGGGACCCAATCGCCAAATCCTGGTGGCGAAGAATCATCATTCACCACCTTTTTTTGGTTCGGGCGCCACTGTAAAAACATTAGGATATTTTAGAAGCAGAAGACGTGAAAAAAATGAGCGCTGCCCTCGCAGGGACTCGAATCTCGAACCTCTGGATACGCGCCGAGTATGCTGCCCATTACACCACAAAGGCATGCTAAGAAGGCGGGAGAAATACTTTATAAAGTAAATATGAAGCAAAGAATAAAAGAGAAAATTTTTTTCCTTGAATTGTCTGCATTATAGATATCTCCTGAGTAACCCCCATATTGTATATCAAGCGATATGAAAAATATTTATTTATTGCGCATCAGAAGAGACAAATGTGTACTTAAAATGTATTTCAACTTGTGGTACAATTTTTTCGTGGAAATTTAAAAATCATAACGCAATAGTTATTTTACACAGGACAAGAGTGTTACTATACAGAGGGTATTCACACATTTTTCTAACGATTTTGCAAAGATTTATATATAAACAAACCTTAAAATTTTATTTTCTAATATGTTCAGTCTGATAGCGATTTTGTTGAACTATCATATTACACTTTTACATCTAGTTGTCTTAAATAAGAAATTTTGCTGATAACTTAGGAAACGCACACGATTATTAATTATTTGTGAATTAATTAACAGACATGAAAGAGATTAACTATTTTAGTGACAAATTATTGGAGTGTCAGGCGAGAACAGACGTTTCACATTTGACGCTCCAAAATTAAAATAATCATTAGAAGGCTACCTTAAAAGTATTTGCTGCTGCCCTCGTTTTACGATCCAGTGATACTGCACGCGAAATCCGTAATCGCTGTTCATTTTTTACTATGACATCACAGAATTTGCTGCATATCCATATTTCCTATTCATTGAATCGTCTGTTTTCTAGCATATCACAGAATTCGCTGCATATCTCTATGACTCGGTGATTCTGTATGCTGAAGCACTGGCTGCTGCTCTCCTCGAAAAGCAAGACCCCAGGAATGGGACTTACATTATTCAGAAAATCGTTTCCAAAGGGATTTATCGAAGTAAGTGTTTTTTAGGAAATTTTTAGATGTTTTAACAATCGCAATTTAGAAATCACTTTTTTCCATTTCTTTAAACCGTAGTATTTGTTTTTTACTTCCTTGTACGAAAAAAAAGGAAATATTATGATTTCGGTTATCATATTTCAACGAAAATATCCTCTTTGGCCGATATCGAATGCAATATAACAATGTTTTGGCGTGACATCTGTAAGAAAGGCCAAAAGAAATGATTTCCCACCCAAAAAAAAAAAAGTATAAAACTGCTTAAAAATTAATTATGAAGAGAAATTTTCCTTGCATGCGTACGTATGTCGCATAACTCAAAAACGACTAGTCTCCGATCGTTTAAATTTTGTATGTAAGACTGCTATAACATGTAGATGTGCATCTTCCATTTTGGTTGCAATCTGTCGCACAAAAAGTGTATAAATATATGTATACATATACACATTCTGTTACTCGGCTCAGTGATCTCAGTTTCTTTATTTTGATATGTTTGTAAATTGTGCATTTTTTGCTTTAAAAATGATTGAATTATGTTGTTCTTATCTTCCGGTTAAGGTTTTTATGTCTTTAGTAAATCTGCGTGTGATATTTGTAGAATTGTCAACAATTTAAAAGTTGTTTAAAAGCGGCTAATCCTAATTATTTTTTCCATGGCGGTCATATTAGTTTACATTTGAAACTTATCAGAATAGTGCATTTGTTGCCAATCTAGAGAAAGTAAGCTTCGCAACAACAAAGATAACTTCTTCTTTTACTCTTGCGAATTAAATTATGCTTAATCCATTCTGGAATTTATTCCGGGAAATAATTGTTTAAATTTACTTCCTAATTTTTAATATAGATATTTTGAGTTATGTAGTTTCGCCTTGTCGGGAAGTGAGAACTGAATTCATTAAATGAAAAATATCGAATCCCCTGTGAAAAACTGTTTCCTTTGTCTTATTTCTTTTATGCACAGTTTTAAATTTATTATAGTGTTTGAATAGAACGGGACAATGGTTCGATAATTCTTCAGATGATACAATTTTTGCACATTCTGAGTTTTAAAATGAATGAGATGTAATGCTGTTAAATGAACCTAGCGCCAGAGTGTCGCTATGGTAAACAAATATAGTGAATTTTAAAGAGTGTGTTTATTCTATTTTGGTTTATGCTCTATCGAAGAAGTAGATTTAATTCAATCCGATAAGTTTAAATGAAATGCAGGAAAAAATGCGTATAATTTCAGTACAAGGAAGTCATGTCGTGTACACTTCAGATTTTTTTATTTGAAAACTCAGAATGCTCTTAACACATTTTGCTATAAATTTTATACTTTAGATACTTTACTAGAAATTCGAATTAAGCTTTGTAAACGAAAGTTTTATTAATAAATGACAAAATTTAGCCTTATCAGGACGTTAATTTCAGTAAAATATTGCATATTGCTTTGTAGTAAATGGTAGCAAAGAATTTGGCTTCTGCAGTGGAAAAATTCCCACAAGTTTTACACAAGCCATTGCAGAAATATAGGTAGAATAACTTCACTATTGAATGAATAATCCTGTACTTTAATCTGTCATAAGTTTTTGAATCCCTTTTTACTGAAGTCTGTTAATTATCAAAACTGATAATAGTGTAGCAGCGCAGCTATTATGTTATAATCATTCACAAATTTTGCATATTCACATTGGAATGAAATCTCAAATGCATACTTATAATGCGCATTACGTATGAAATTTATAATGGGCAATTACTACTTCATGCAATCGAAATTCCATACGTTAAAATTTTAAACTTCATTGTTGCTAAAGCTTATTTAACTAGACGACACTTACGTGAAAAAGAAGTTCATAGGATCTACACTTCCTAAAATTACTATTTTTGATTTTAGACGCGCATTTTATTCCAAAGGGGAAATTTGCCCAGAGGGATTTTTAATTTCGTTTTGGCATTTTGCGTTGATTCACTACAAGCGTTGTAACAACAATCAATTGGCATTTTGCGTTGATTCACTACAAGTGTTGTAAGCAACAATTTGAAAAGTGACAACACTATAAGAGTTGTCACTTTTCAAATTGTTACCACCATATATTAGAGCCCTGTATTTTATTTAAAGTAACTAAATAATGGAGAATCTGCATAAATTTATCTATATTTCTCCCATTGTGGTAGAACAACGGTACCTAGAGCTATCCAATTTTGAATAACGTAATACTCCTGCGAACATGGCATCTGGGAGACCAAATTAGAACTTTGGAATTTGTTTTATGATCGATTTCATATTTTGTAACCCTTCAGCGAATTTTTGATTAACAAACTCAAGGATTTCAAAGTGAGCTATGGCAACGTTGTACAGAAGAAACATTTTTTTATCTCCAGCGCGCGAGACTGTGTATCGGAAATTATAAAGATAGGCTCGTTTTAAAATTATTTTGCGATGTTGCTCTTGAACTGAATTTTATGTTTTAATGGGTATAACATGATATTTAATAAATAAAGATATCACACAAAATGTTTAAAAAAACTCTCCTTTGGACGTAATTTAAAATCTGAAACCTTTCAGATTTTTTATTATTAATTTTTTTAAAGAAATGCCCTCCTTAGAAAGAATACCTATCTGTAATTTTAATCTGTTTATAACTGCTTTCTCAGAAAAAGCGGTCACTTTTTGGCTGCTCGTCTTAAGGAGGTATACTCAGATGATTTGGCCTTTTCTTGAGGTGGCCTCGTAGGGGTAATGACTACCTGTTATTTAACTATGTTCTCAGAAATAGCGATCACTCTCAGAAGTGGCATCTTAAGGACGTAATCAAATTGACAGTTTTCTGTATATTTTTATTCTTCGACATTGTCTTTCTCGTAATAATATTGCAGTGAATTAAAATACAATAACACGCCGAACAAATTATAATTTAGAAGTCAACAACAGTTTCAACAATGAATTCCATTGATCCTGCTATACAGTTCTCTTCTGAACTTGAGACATGCAATTCTCTTCCGTTCCTCGAAATTATGTTCACACGTAACAAATTCAACTTCAGTATTACGCTTTACCGTAAACCTTCATCGGTTTGTCTTCTACCACACTTCAAGTCATGTCATCCGACTAAACAAAAGTTAGCTTCATTTTATTCCTATGTTTTCCGCGCACTTCAAGTTTGCTTTTTCAAACTGTCTGTTGATGAATCGAATTATTTAAAATTAGCAGCTATTGACAGGGCCTTTTCGCCCAACGTTATTAACCAAGCAGTTAAAAAATTCTCATCTCAAAGGGCACACTCTTGTTTTAGGAGATTATAAGAATTCTGTTGTCATTTCTTTTTTTCCATCAGTTAATTATAAAACTGCACATATTTTAAAGAAATTTAACTTTCGGGTCGTTTATTCTCCCATCAACAAAAATCCGAGTTCCATACTCGAGGACTCCATTCTGGATATGAATTTCTGGGGTATTTGTGCCAGTGTGGTTTAATTTACATTGGTCAAACTAAGAGAGCCTTAAAATTTTACGTTAAGGAACATGAGGCATAAGTTAGAAAAAAGGAAATACGGAATTATTCTGTTGCCCAGCATTTTGTTGGTCCGCAAGTCCGACTTTCAATTCTTCTTCAGCCAAAATTATTCAAAAAACATCTTCCATTGGTGAATTAGATTTTCTAGCGGCATTTCACATTCAAAAATAATCTTTCTGTTCTAGTTAAAGACCCTAATTCCAATCCATGTTTGCTTCCAGCCTTTAAGGAAATTATGTTTTCAAACTCCTACTGCTCATGAGTATAGAAGCGAGGACTATTTGATCTGCAGATTGGCGTTTTTCCGATCGCTCTTAGCTTAGCTTATATATAGGAAGTATACAATTGTTAAAGGAACAAACAAGTTCGTGAAAAATTGTCCACACGTGTTCATACTTTTTTGTTTATATAAATAACATTCTGCAAAATTTTTATCAATAAGCAAAAAAAAAAAAAAAAAAAAATTATGCAAAGAACGTGAAATATTGAAAATATCTACACTACACAATCACAACAAACAGAACTGAAATCTATTTTTTAAATATCACATTTTACGTTCCTTATACAGAACTATCCACAGAATGTTTCCCATCGGTATCTCCGACTTTATGAGCCACTTCATCGGGTATTTTCGTATCGATTTTTTCCCTATCTCTTTTTTACTGCCGCAACTAAGGATTCGTACTGTGTGATGTCCCTTTCTGTTCTTCAGTCGTACTTGAAAAATAAAACGCGTTTCACCCGCCTATCATATCTTTTGGTATATTTAGTCCAAAGGAGCTTTGTCCCTGAAGGACTATTGTTTTCGTTTTGAGATTTTACGTTGAATCACTATAAATGTCGGTTTCACTTTTCAAACTATTGCCACCAAATGTTACAGTCCAGTATTAGGTTTGAAGAAATTAAGTAATGAAAAATCTGCATAAATATATGCATATTTCTCGCATTGTGATAAAACAACGGTATGTAGAACCATCGAATTTTGAATGACGTAATCCTCCTACGAAAATGGGCATGTGGAAGACCAAATTTGAAATTTGGAATTTGTTTTTTATCGATTTCATATTTTGTAAAACTTTAACGAATTTTTGATTAACAAGCTCAAGGATTTCAAAGCAAGCAATGCCAACACTTTACGAAAAAAATTAATTATCTCCAGCGCGCGAGATTCTGTATCGGAAATTCTAAAGATAGGCTGATTTAAAAGTTATTTTGTGCTATTGCTGTTGAACTGAATTTTATGGTTTAAGTGCAAAGAATTTGATATTTAATAAATAAAGGTAACACACAAAACGTTAAAAAACGCCCCTTTTGACGTAATTTAAAATCTGAAAACTTTCAGATTTTTCAATATATTTATCTCTTTTAATAATCTCATATTTTCCAGAGAAAACAGTCATCAGTCCAATATCCAAAGCAATAATTGAGAAACTGCTGCCAAAACCACATTTCTAAAAAAAATGAAACTATTTAATATGATGCGATTTCATCGAAAAAGAT